ATGTTCTCTCTAGTTTTTATTTTATTTTACCACTTGAATTCTTTCCACTTCACTTCACATCTTCATTCTTATCGTAATCGTACTCCTAATTTTCAAAATTTTTAGACAACACTTGACATTTTTGTTATAGAACAATCTTTAATATTTTTGTAATTTATCCACTTCAACTCTACCCCTTATAACTTTTATCACATATATACGTACATTGACTGAGCAATTATTTAGTGCCACTTAATAACCCTTTTTCTGTAATATAAGTAAATACGGCTGTACAGCTTGAAAATGAAGTCGTTGAAAAGAAATTTCTTCGCTGAACAAAAACTGTGTTTTTACTTATACAAGTTCGCCATTTTTCGGTCATCTGGTCGTACTGATGAAGATTGTCAATACAAGGGCAATACAGATGTCTACTTCGTTCAGGGTTTACAGTGTTTCTCTAACTGAAATAAGTTGATGGTCGAATTTTTGAAAATGCGACTATTATCCTGTGAAATGCACAAGTTTTATTGATGTACTTTATACATACTGATTGATTAACTGACTTCAATTGACTATTCTTAAATCTTTCAATTCGGGATATTCTTATTCCTGAGTAATTTGGTATTTACATTACGACATCGAGGAGATGACAGCCTGGTTAAACTACTGAGCCATTTTAACTTCCATCCAGCCTAATGCATCTATATCTGTCAGTTTCTGTTTTGTTTTAATCCTCCTTTTATACATGTGGATAGCAACACGAATTCGCGCCAAATTTGAGTTAACCGGCTTTCAACCTTCCAATCTGTATACTACAGCAAGTAAGGGATAAGAAATTTGTTCCATGTAACTGAATTTTTATTTTTATACAGAATGAAGTTGCGTTACACGATATATTGTCGATGAATATTTTACCGACCATGCGCGTGGTTCTACCACCGACTCACTCCTTTACCTCGCTAAGCCAGTGATAAAAAAAAGCTGGTAAAGAGGCAAGGTTTGGCGGACCTGAAGCTAGCAGCCTCATCCGATAAAAATAATCCTCACTGCAACAGAATCTCTAAGCCTCTAGCTTCAAGCTACCCTATGTTCCTCTGGGAACCTGAAGGAATTCTATAAGACACGAGGTTAAATATTTCGCAAGAAATTATACACTGAATTCTGTATTATTATGTATAAACGGTATTCGTAGAATAAAGCTGATACAGTGACGATTATTGCCATTCATTAACCGAGGTGAATTTTTAATTGTCACCGCTTCAGTCGTCATATTCTAACCAGTTACAACGCCTGAATTCCAGATCGTATTTCCAACTGACACATTCCCAAATCCTAACTGCTTTACAAGCTGGTAGAAAGTCATGTAAAGAAGCCGTGTTTGAACAAAGCAAGAACTACAACGGTTTTTGCAGAATAAAGTGTATCATCATTGTTTATTTCGTTGCCTTCTCATCAGCTCCTTACTGACCAAAGTCATTAATAAATATATCTGCAGAAACAATTTTAACATACTTGCGCAGAATCCATTTTAAACGAAAATCAATCGATCAATATAATATGCATACAGTAATAATATTAAAACTGTAGTTCTTGCATTGTTCAAATTCATTAAGGGGAATAAATGTATGAAATAATATATATATATATGTATATATTGAAAAGGTTTTGCAGAGCAGAAGTTACCCTCAAAGGTTTATGAACAAGTATGGAAGATCTGAAGTTTCAGATGTAAAACAAGTGACAGTGGAGAAAAAGCCACTATACAATCAACTTGATTATAAAGGTGAAAACATTGCAGCGATGATCAACAGAAGGCTGCGTACATCACTAGCCAGAGCCTATCCTGCAGCTAACCTCGTTCCCGTCTATCGAACAACTTGCTCTCCTTTGGTGCAATCAACAACCGATAGATATCCTTCTCATGTGAACTCCAACTGTGTGTATACAAATTTACATGAATCTGTGGGAGCAGTTATATTGGAACAACAGAAAGAAGAAGGCATATCTACGATTTTCTGAACATGCACCAAAAAAGGTTACGTCTAAAGGGAACAAGTGCTTTAAACAATACCATCGCCAGGCATCTCTTTGACACGCGTCGTGAGGTAGACGTCGAAAAGTCGTCCAAAATTATCAATAGGCAAAAGAGTTCAATTCGCATCAAGTTTGCTGAAGCCATCTCCATCAAGCACCTGAAACCTGATTTATGCGTCCAAAAAAAAGCCGTTATCAGTGTTTCTTTGCCCTGATAACTGGATATTTTCATCTCTCTTTCATCTGAATGCGAAATGCTGAAAAGTTTCCATTGTGTATGATCACTGTTGTTCGGAATAGTGTTTAATATTACATATATATATACATATTATTACTATATGCATATTTTGATCGATTGATTCTTGTTTTAAGTGAACTCTGTGCAAGTATATACACCCAAACCAAGTTCAATTTTAACGATTTGAAAAAATTTGGTCATTGGGTATATGATATTCATTATAATAAAGGTTTTTGTATTTTCCAAAATTGGAAATTCTCTCTAGTTAAAACTAAAACCAAAATCTTATGTACCTTCAAGATTCTACGGTCAACCAAAGATACATAAACCCACAGTTCCATTAAGACGAGTAATAGATTTCACGAACTCCCCGAAATACAACCTATCTAAATACTTACTCTCGGTGCTACAACCACTACAAAAGGACACTCAAAATAATGTAAGAAACTCATATGACTTCAAATTCCAAATAGAACACCGAGAAATTGATAAAGAAGACATTAAGGTAAGCTATGATATTAACTGATTATATATTAGCATCCCTATTACCGAAAGTCTTGATATCTTTTGCAGTCTACTAGAATCAGATACAATGCTATCACAAAGATGTCCACTGGACACCAGTGGAATAGTTAAGAGCTTGAAATTCTGTTTAGAAAATAATTATTTTACATTTAAAGGGAGTTTATATAGACAGACAAATGGTGTTGCTATGGGTTCACCAGTCTCCAAAATAGTCGTCGACCTTTTCATGAATAAATTCGAAAATAACATCTTTTCAAGTATACTCACTCCTAAAATACGGTTAAGGTATGTAAATGATACTTTTGTAGTACTAAAACGAGATCTATACAATTCATTCCTGGAGGAAATAAACTATGTATCTCCCAGAATCCAGTTTACTTCGGAAGCAGGCATAATCAGACGTCGGTGAAATACCATTTCTAGACTGCCTGTCTAGTTAAGGGGAAGGGATATGGACATTTTAGTGTATCTGTACTCAGAAAGAAAACCCATTCCAACAAATATTTAGACTTCGGATCATCACACCCATCACCGCATAGATATCAGTTGTTTCAAGTCTTCTCAGACGAGCACACTCTTTGATTTTAACGGATGAGAAAGAAAAAGAAGAAGAAACATCAAACATTACTGAGACTCTCAAGCAAAACAACTACCCAAGGAACTTCATCAACAAAATCAACACAGGCATTAAGTATGGTCAAAATCGCATTCCGAAAACATGGGCATCAACAGTCGTCATTCCAATATAGAGTAGAGATGTCAGACGATATCAGAAGAGTACTCAATCAGCTCGACATTAGAGTTTTTTTCAAAACATCAGACACACTAAGAAACAACCTTGTCCATATAAAAGACCAAATCCCTCAGGATTCTCTATCTAATTGTGTCTACAAAATAAAGTACTTGGAATGTGATGCGATATACATCGGACAAATTTCGCCAGAGTGAAATCATAATCAGAAGAAATGAACACCGTAGAGCCGCCTCTGTTCAACCACTGAGAAATCCGGTTGAACTAGAAAAGCTGAAAAAATCATCAGCCATACCTTGTCTGCATGCTATAGAATCAGGCCACAAAATTGATTTTGACAATATTGAAATCATCATCCAGAAAAAGCATTTCAGAAATCACAAAGAACGTCTAATATCCATCAGAAGCACTTCATATCATGTGGAATCCGAATTGTCTGAATAGGAATACTGGACTAAAACAGAATCTGACCTAGTTACAACACCCGCCTTCCTCATGAAGTGACAAAATCAACACGAATATGACAAGCAAGTTCACTATGCAAACACACACTACTTTTATAATGTCACACACTGATCAAATCCAACAGTCATCTACACCTACCTGGTTTTGTTATCTTTATCGATTGGCCAACTTGATAACGAAAAGTGACCCAAGACTGACGAACGATAATCACATTAGTAAACTTTATTTTGAAATCATAACAGATGTACTATTACCTTTAATATTTGGTTCAGTAATCTCCATTGTTATTTTAACCTTCAATATGTCCTTTTAACTTGATCTAAGTCTATTTTCTCACCTCTTAACTCTTTGTTATATATCAGTTGAGGATATTTTGTAAATTCCGGTTTAATACTACTTTGATAAAGCTATTAGTATTAATGAATTGAATTTTTGATTTTCCCATCGATTGTTTGGATCGAAGTGCTCGGTCTCAGGTTGACATGTCGGCTTCTTGTGCAGATGCTTTGACGATGTCTGGATATTTAATTAGTATACAATTGGTGGATGGTGGCTAGCAGTGGAATCCAGGATAAAGCGCATTTCGTCCTATTTGGGACTCGTCAGCTAACTGGATGTACCTGCATTTCTCAGTGAGTGATGACGTTCCCACCGAAGCTCGAACCCAGTACCCATAGTGGTCTAGTGGATAACGCTTTGGCGTTTGAAACTATGGGTACTGGGTTCGAGCTTCGGTGGGAACGTCATCACCCAATGAGAAATGCAGGTACATCCAGCTGACGAGTCCCAAATATGACGAAATGAGCTTTATCCTGGATTCCACTGCTAGCCACCATCCACCAATTGTATACTATTAGTATTAAATAGCGAAACGTCAGTAAAACCGACAATATCATTTTATCTGTGCAAGTATGTTAAAATTGTTTCTGTAGATATACTTAATAATGAATGTGGCCTGTAAGCATTTGAGCTGATGAGAAGCCAACGAAATAAACAAAGTATGTAGTACCACTTTATTCTGGACAAACAACTGTTGTTGTTGTTCTTGCTTTGTTCAAAATTCATTAAGAGGAATAAATGTATAAAACCGTGTTTGTTGTTGGTCATTCACGACTGTTGACCCTATTCACTTCAAAGTTCAACACTTGAAGACCTATGTTTGTTTGATCATTTCGTTTGTTTGTTTGTTTTTCATTTGAAGCGCCAAATTGAAGGGAATCAAATCAAAGAATACAAAAAAACAAACAAACAAAACTTGCTAATTAATTATTAATTAATTGCGCAACAGTATAATTTTGTTTTGAGCAAAAATAATCAAACTCACACACACTCACACACACACACACACGTATAATATGTTTCTTATTTATTTTAATTGAAACAAAAGATGAAAGATGAATAGGCACAGGCATAGCTTGAACACACATAAACACACACAGATACACACAGAAAATCTCATCAAATTAGGAACAAATCCATATACGAAGCTTTCCTTCGTGAGAATACATTTATGTATATGTCTATATTTATAGGTCCATATATCTTTGTATACATATATATGTATATATCAATGCTTTAATTTGAATAATATAATTGGTGGAATAAATAAACCAATTGATACAGCCAATGAGACATAATTAGCCACTGTTCCACTTGTATGCAAAAGTGCATGTTGTAACAGGCTAAATAAACCAGCCACTGTGCTAGATATCCCATTCAATGTACCAAAATAACGTATAGGAAAGCAAGTTAACAGAAAGCTAACAAATGAACTGAATAACAAAGATCTAAGTATTACAAGGCATAAAAATGCCACATAAATAGCACTCTTATTAGGTATAAACATCATTATACTTAAGAGAAGTGAAAATAACGCCGTCAGTGTTAGCGCTGGTATTAAACCAGATATATACGTGTAATACATTTTCTTATTTGTCAAGCCTTTACGATCTTTTATTAGCATATCTGTCACTTGATTACGTGATAAGCGTAGAAATACGTCAATAATAAGACCAGATACCGGTGCAGCAAAAAATCCACACATTGAAAATGCTGATGATACTTGTAACAAGTGACTGATGAGTGTTTCATCGCCAGGGAATAGAAAGGCTAACTGTTTATACAATTGACTCAAGAATACAGCGAAACGAAATAATCCCAGGATAAACCAAAAATTAATTAACATGTAAGAGGCGGAGAAAACAGTTTTTTTCAAGGTTGAAAATTCTTCATCAAAAACATGCGACATTTCTGCAAAGATATCAATTGTTGATGATTCTACTAAACAGGATTCCTGCATTAGTTATTCGAGGCGGCGGCGACGGCGACGGCGACGGCGGGAGGGTGGAAGATAAAAGAGAAGACATATGACAGCATATTTACGATTTTATATTATAAATATTACAGGATAATAAGTAATAAGAATGCATGAAACCAGACAGACTACTGATTGACTGTCATGAGTAGTTCTCAAATCATTCACATCGGTCAGTACTCCTAGCCAAGAGGGCATTCCACTGTTTTAATGGACAAATTTATCAGTATTCAAGTGTTGGTTTGTAGAGATTTGATTGGTTGGTTACAGGATTTCATCATGAGCTGACATTAGTTAGAAAACGATTGGAAAACCTGGGAGTACTGATTTGAGACTCTTCAGCAGTACACACCCACTATAAGGGGTGGGGTTCGAGCCCAGGAACTTCTGATCACAAGGCTAGCGAGCTTGTATACCATTAAGCCACTGGGACCCGATCCAATGGACAGTCAGCTAATGAATTCTAACTTCTGCCAATTCCCGTCATAGCGTGACTCATTGCCAATGCCTTCGGTGGTGAGTATTTGTCCTCACATCATACCTGCTGCACCCTACTGGTCACGATAGTTTACTCTGTATGACTCATTTCAGAGAACCGAATCATTTCAAACCCCTCTAAGTGATTTTTAATCACTTGGATCTGACCAGTTAGGGCATAGAAATACACATCTCAGTCAATACGTCATCAAGTAGATGAATGATATTGGTTTCTAAAGGTGAGATTTCATGGTTTCAAACTGTGAAAACTGAGAATTCAATAATAGCAACAACAACAATAATAATAATAAAATTAGCAGAAAGCATAAGACAAATTTTATTCGAAAAAGTTCTAGATATCACTCCATTTTCCTTCAGATACTGATTTATTCCTCAGCAGTTCAACTGTAGCATGCGCTGATTATCTTTAATTAGGTTATTTATCCTCTTTTTTTCTTCTTTCCTTCACGTTCCCCAGTGGAACAGAGGTCTTCAAGTTAGTAGCAGCGTTTATTTTACACGATGGAGTTCCTAGCCTCATGCCCTACAAACCTTGCTTCTTTACTAGCTTCCTTTTTTACTGGCTTAGCGAGGTAAAGGAGTGCGTCGGCCGGGGATCGAACTCCAGACCATGTGCATGGTCGGCGAGCATCCTAACCGCTATGCCGCCGACGAACCATCTATACTCTTACTTTCTTGTATATCTGTGTATATCTGAGTGAATTCTTTGAGATACTAGGAAGTACTGGATAGCTATTCCATCAGAGTTTTGGAACTCCTCAGTAACCCGGTGACTCACTACAGGATGAAATTGTTCCGGTGTTCTACTAAGAAGGCGTAACCAGTAGAGTTCACAAAATCCCAAGTGCGTCTGCCTGTCTAACTGTCTGTCTGTTTCTTTTCAACATAAAACTTTTACACAGGTGTGCAGTAATTCCAGTCGTCACACTCTCTCCATGTAGCATACAAAGCAAGAGAAGAAAGTAAAAAAGAAACGCAAAGTAGAGACAGTAGACAGGAATATGAAACAAAAGGAATAGTAATAACGAAGAATAACATAGTTTCACTGAATATCGTAAGTCATAAGGAGTGGATGCATCTGCGTGCCAGCTATCGAGAACGATTTTGAGCCATATCATCAATTGTCTCCAGCTTTCATTGGTTTTTACCATCCCGAGGACCCCAACCAAGGAAGTCTACATCTGCTTACGTGGTTTAAACTAACTGTTGTGGATTTTATCGAGGATTTCACCATGGATTTCATTGACTGATGAGGCCATGTTTTAGTTTGACAACCAGTGGCCCTTTTTTCCACCCTGATCCTATGTCAGCTAACATTGCCTGTCAGTCGAGGAAGGCGGTCGATGACTAAGCGTGCATAACACATGTCCTAACCATCTCAGTCAATATGGCTTCAAAGCCTCGTCTATTGATTTCCCGACCTTACCTAGCACTCGATGCCTAACCTCAGTGTGTAGAAACACTCACCGACTATAATGCCTCTTGGAAAGGCTATATATTTCACGAAGTGACAGTAATTTTAATTTATGGTGTACTTATTGTATTCCTTTCAGTTTAATGCTGGTAAACCACAAGTCATACTTTCTACACGACCGATGGTGATTCCTCAATTGAAAGATGAAGTACCAAGACTAGCTAGCCACTTCCAATTGTATCTACCAATTTAACTGTGGGTATTAGATGGTTGGAGGCGATCGGTCACAGGAAGCCTTTGACCTATGTTTCCCGCTAGTTGGCGCTCATCAGTAGGGCGTATCTGCAACTGCCCTGAAGGAAATCATATCCCTCCTGAGATTCGAACTCGCGTTACCCGGTGCTGCAGTCAGAAACGTTACCACTGAGCTATTCAGGCCCGCGGTTGACCTCCTGCAGGACTCTATTAGATATTTTTGATTGAACACCAGTCAGTAACTAGTGTAATGTGTCTAGTCTTATCTTCTGTGCAGACTGAATTCCATCAGTTAAGCTTGCCGATTGCTTCCAACCATCTTGTACCAACGATTCACAGTGCGCCATAATGGTGAGCCACTTAGTGGCATTTTGGCCACATTACAAGCTTGACTTAGAGAAATCCAGTCCGCACCGAAGATAGGAGTAGACACATTACACTAGTTATTGATTGGTGTCCAATCAAAAATAACCAATTAAACTTCACTTGTGGTGGGGCGAGTTATATCGCCCCAGTTGCTCCAAGAATATGATCTGTCGTTCTCTCTCTCTCTGGAACGTTTACTAGTGTGGTTAAATAAAGGTGTAGTGAGAAGTATCAGTAGATCGATATTTGACCAAATGGTCTAAACTGGCAATAAAACCATCCAGCATTGAAGAATCGTTCTCTATCATCTACCGGCTATTGCGATTCGCCTGGAACAACCAGCGGTTTTTGTACAGAATTAGCAAGTCTAGCTAGCCACTTCTACTGGATTGGCTGACCTTCGGTTGAGACTATAATTTCACAAATTTGTAATATTATCTTTCCTAATTTTTTGATATTCAGTGTGTATTGTTATGTTGATGTTGTCGAACTGTAATCCATTGATATTATTATTATTGATTCGATGTTATTTAAACAACGACATTAATGTTGTTCATGACACTAATTCATTCATTCATTCATTCACTATAATGCATATGTATAACTGTAGAGCCTGATGATAAAGAGCGGGTTATCAAAAAGCATATACTTTGTTCAATAACCATTTTTTTGAAAAATTCCGTGATTCTCAGATCATGCTATTTTCTCACAACTAAAATTGATCTAAACTAAAAATTCATCAATTTCATCCAAGGACTTCAACAGAAAACATGTGAAAATTTTTACAAAACTCTTTCGAAATCCCTGACAAAGGAGAAATTGTGTGACGTTTTCCCAGAAAATCCTGAGGAGTTTATCTGTAATCTGTCGAGTCTGAAGTTAAATCGCATTGAAATGGAAGCACTTTCTCTTGGATTTAACTTTCACATCCCAAATAAGTTTGTCGAAAGAACTGATGTCGCAGTTCAATTCGAAAACTTATTCTATCAGTTGAGTGACCTCACTCCAGTTGATGATGACAAGAGGAGCTGGTTCAAATCGAAGCTCGTCGACGTTGCAAATCAATACCTCATTTCTCCAATGTCATATTCCAAAGTCTTTTCTGAAGAGCATCTAAGAGCATTGAAAGCTCTCAAGAATAATGACAAAATTGTTATATTGAGACCTGACAAGGGCTCAGGTGTGGTGCTGATGGACAAAGAGGACTACATCGCAAAGATGAAAGCTGTGCTAAATGACCCGTTGAGATTTAAAGTTGACAGTTGCCAGAAAGATAAGACAGATGCAGTCGAAAAACGTATCACAAACGCCTTGAGAGATCTTCTAAAGAAGAAATTGATTGACAACAACACGTACAATGATTTGAAACCTCGAGGGTCCCGCTTGCCACACATGTATGGCCTTCCGAAGACACACAAAGAACAAGTCCCCCTGAGACCCATACTTTCGATGATCAACTCGCCCCAACATAAGGTGGCACGTTGGCTTGCGGAGAAGTTGGAGCCTATTCGTCAACGGCTAGGCGTGCACACGGTGAAAGACTCATTTCATTTCTCTGAGAGTGTGAATCACATGAACGTTCTAAATAACTTCATGGTGTCATTTGATGTAACCTCCCTATTCACAATGATTCCAGTCAATGAAACCATTGAAATCATCTGTCAGCAGTCCGATCTTCTCCCACTCCCAGAATCTGAATTCAAACGCCTACTGCTTATGTGCACCATGGATGTGCAATTCCTATTTGACAACACCTTTTACCGCCAAATAGATGGTGTAGCTATGGGCAGTCCACTTAGCCCTGTTTTAGCAGATATTTTCATGTCTAACCTTGAAAGAACAAAGCTGAAGCATGCAATCGACGAAACATCTTCCTACTGTCGTTATGTTGATGACACATTTATAGTGTGCAAAAATAAAAGTCATGCTTCACACTTACTAAGATTATTCAATGGTGCACACGCCAATATTGACTTCACTATGGAACACGAAAGTGACGGAAAGTTTCACTTCCTCGACATAGCCATGGAACGCCTAGAAGACGGTAGTCTTCAAAAGTCAATTTATCGAAAGCCCACATGGAAAGGACAATACTTGCATTTTAATAGCTTTTGTCCACATAGCTTTAAACGTGGTCTAGTCAAAACTTTGTACTATAGAGCGAGGAGAATATGCTCTACAGAGAAACTAGAGGAGGAGTTTGAGTTCCTTGAAAATATATTGAAGAGAAATGGGTATCCTCAAAGGTTCATCAACAAGTATGGAAGATCTGAAGTCACAAAAGTAAAACAAATCACAGTGGAAAAAAAGCCAGTCTACCTTCAGCTTGATTATAAAGGTGAAAACATTGCAGCGATGATCAACAGAAGGCTGAGTACATCACTAGCCATAGCCTATCCTGCAGCTAAGCTCGTTCCCGTCTATCGAACAACTTGCTCTTTGGTGC